TATTTTTCTTCTTTTTGCAATCTAGAGCAGGTGTCCCGTGTGCTTGCACTTTCATGGTTCTGTTCCGTCGTTCCTACAAACTACTAGCAACAGTTCCTCGCCTCACAGTTCTTGCAAAAGCACCCTTGCGGAAAAGCGCACCGTATCACGAACACGTGGATAGAGCATCGCCCGTAGCAACAGCTTTGAAATCACTCTGCTGTGGGAATTCTAGCTTCGCAATGATGTCTTCAAATAGCGATAGCAAATCCGTCTCGCCATGGACACAGCCAGAATCGACGTATCCGCAGACCGGACTGGCGGTGTACAACTCGATCACAAAGTCAAAGGTGCCGTTTGTGCCAAAGGACGGCAACAATGTTAGTTGGTATGGGTGTGGGCCAACGGTGTACGATGCGTCTCATATGGGCCATGCGTGCAACTACATGACATTCGACATTATCCGTCGTATAATGGAGGACTATCTGAACTATGATCTGAATGTGGTGATGAACATCACTGATATTGACGACAAGATCATTGTCCGTGCGCGCCAGAAGCATCTGCTTCAAAAGTACCAGGAGCAGCAGAATGTGTTGACCAAGCAGGCGGTTGAAGATGTGGAGTCCGCGTTCTTCAGCTTTGTCAAGGAAAAGCTTGGAGCGTTAATTGCCAACGTCAGCGAGTGGAATGCCTTTGCTTTGAGCACAGGCAATGGGAAGGACCAGGCCTTTACCAATGGCGATCCAAAGATGACCATGTACTATTCGGCAGCGGAAGCAGCAGCCAGTGCAATCAAGACGGCGCATGAAAATGTTGCTGGAGGGAAGACAGGCAAGGAAGAGCTCGCTGCGCTGCTGAGTGCGTCGGAGGATGTGGTGGCACTGTGGCTCGATAAAAGGCTTGGGTCGACAGTGACGGAACACCGAATCTTCCGTGATCTGGCGGCGTACTGGGAAAAGGACTTTTTCGAGGACATGGATGCGCTCAATGTGCGCCGTCCCAACGTCCTGACGCGCGTGTCTGAGTTTGTGCCCGAGATAGTGCGGTTTGTGCAGCGGATCATTGACAACGGATACGCATACGAATCCGAAGGCTCAGTCTTCTTTGATGTTGCAGCCTTTGACGGCAAAAACGGCCACTTTTATGCAAAGCTTGAGCCGACAGCAAAGGGTAACCTGCGCCGCCAGGAGGATGGCGAAGGGTCGCTTAGTGTGCATAGCTCTTCCAAACGCAGCCATTCGGACTTTGCGCTGTGGAAGGCATCCAAGCCTGGAGAGCCAGCGTGGCCTAGTCCCTGGGGCTCTGGCCGCCCAGGCTGGCACATCGAGTGCAGCGTGATGGCCAGCGAGATCCTAGGGCCACACATAGACCTGCACACGGGTGGAATAGACCTTGCGTTTCCGCACCATGATAACGAGATGGCCCAATCCGAGGCGTGCTTTGAGAATCACCAATGGGTCAGCTACTTTTTGCATGCAGGGCATCTCCATATTGAAGGGAGCAAGATGTCAAAGTCGCTCAAGAACTTTGTCACCATAAAGGAGGCGCTGAAGAAGAACACGGCTCGTCAGATACGCATCCTGTTTCTGCTGTCACAGTGGGATTCAAATCTCTACTACGACAGCAACTCTATGGAGGGTGCCATTTCTGTGGAACGCACATTTTCCAACTTTTTCACAAATACGAATGCATTGCTGCGCGAGTTCCGTCTTCGTCAGGAGGATTCAGATGGCACCCGTCGTTTCCAGGGGCCAGAGCTTGAGCTTATGGAAGCGTTAAACGATACCAAGGGACGGGTGCATGCGGCTTTGCTGGATTCATTTGACACGCCATTAGCAATGCGTGCGCTGCAAGAGATCATTGCGCGCACAAACATCTATTTGCAGCGTGGACGCGCAAGTATTGATCCGCAGATTGTGGAGTCTGTTGCGCTCTATGTGACAAAGATTGTGCGTGTGTTTGGGCTTGTCAATGACGGTGTTGGATCGTCTATTGGCTGGGGATTGGGATCTGTTGGCTCTGACGGCGGTGCGCCGGTTGATCGCGAGTCCATAGTTCTTCCGGTAGCCAATGTGCTCAGCAACTTTCGTGACGCAGTGCGCGACATTGCACTGGCTGGAGGCGACAAGAAGGCGCTGCTGTCTCTCTGCGACAAGGTCCGCGACCAGGATCTGCCCGATCTAGGAATCATCATTGACGACCATGGCGATGGGCGCGCGCTTGTCAAGTTTGCTGATCCCGAGTTGCTCAGACGTGAGCGTGAGCAGCGCGAGGCCGAGGAAGATGCCAGACGCCAGAAGAAGGACGCACAGGCGCGCGAGAATGAGGCCAAACGCCAGTTACGGCTGCAGAAAGCAAAGCTCTCGCCAGCAGATATGTTCCGTACACCAGAAATGCGCCTTCTTTACTCTGACTGGGATGAAAGTGGGCTGCCAACGAAAGACAGCGAAGGTGCTGATCTGACCAAGAGCAAGTTAAAGAAGCTTTCCAAAGAGCAGGCGGCTCAGGATAAACTACACAGCGAGTATCTCAAGTCGATTCACTAGAACTGAGACTATTAATGCATGGGGTTTCTTTTGCACTGCACTGATTCAGTTCTCATTTTGTGGAGGTCCTTTTTTTGGCTCTGATAAACTTTTTGACCAATAAAAAATACCTTTGGCTGGGCATGGTTTTTATTATCTTTTCAAGCCTGCAAGAGAAAAGAGAGAAAATGCTGCTTTATCAAAGGCAAATTGAATCTGCTGTTTCTTTTTCTTTACTTTTTCTTGCTGTTTCCAATTTACCTCTTATTCTTTTTCTGGGCTTTCTAGACGGGATCTAAATACCACCATATCGCTTTATACTGATTGGAAAATGTCTTTTGCGTGGAGAGCTGCTGGTATGAAGTAAGTACGAAGAGATAGTAGTAGCTTGGTGTCGACCTTTATCTTTCACAGCCAAATCGTCAATTGGGAGCTGCAGATGGCTCTTTATGTGACAGAATTGGACCAGCAAACACTAACCAACTTGTAACCGTGTGCCACACAAGTATTTTTCTACTTTACATGTATGCGTTGTCGTCTAAGCAAAGCAAAGTAGCTATCTCCAGTATAGCAGCATTGCTGCGCGGGCCCTACGCCGGGTTGTCAAGCCCGAGCTGCGTTCGGAGGTCGCAAAGCGCGAGGGAGTCGCCATAAAGTTCGCAAAGTGGGACAATGGCAAGGCTGGCGCATCTAACCCAGTGCCAGTTATCGAAACGCGTGCCAAGGCTGAAAACTAGATAATTTGCTCTGTTCCTTTGTGTTTGTGTAGTAACTAGCCTTTCTTGATCTTTTGATAGTTATAAAAAACTGAGATTTTGATGGGCTGGTTTTTTTGCTTTTCGCTGAAAAGGTTGATATAAAGTTTTGGTTTTTAGCAACGGAGAAGCCTATATGAACCTAGGACACACTACCGTGTTGCTTAAACATGGTAGAGTTAGACACCGCACAATAGGCACACATAATGTAGAAAATATATATCAATGCCATTGTAAGCAAAGATTTGTAGTGCTAAGCAGGCGGTTTTGCTATGCTTTAATTTACTAGATCTGGTTCAGAGCGATGATACTGTGTGCTGGCTATAGCAGATGATGATGATGATGATGATGATGGCATAATGATCCGTGGTGCGCAGTGTAATGGAAGTATCAGACTCTCATCAAGGAACATTTGAATTTTTTTTCTCCGCGCGGGCGTTTCTCGATTCACACGCAAAACAGCATACCGGCGCTTTTTAGTTCTTGGGGGGTGTTTCCGTTACTCCCTTTCTTCTTTTCTTTTCTTTTCTTTTCATTTCCGAGATACATTTTCCCTTTATCACATTAATATTCTCTTTTCTTAGAATGACCGAGGTTGCTGTGCAGACCAAAGACGATGGTGCGATGCGCGCCGTAAAGGACTGTGTGGCTGGATCGGTTGGTGGTATTGCGCAGGTGTTTGCTGGCCAGCCTTTTGATACTGTCAAGGTTCGTTTGCAGGCCCAGCCTGATCTGTACAGCGGAACCATGGATGCTGTGCGCAAGACGATCCGCAACGATGGGTTCGGCGGGTTCTACAAAGGAACGACCACGCCGCTGGTTGGCGTTGGTCTATGCGTGTCGATTCAGTTCTTGGTAGTGGAGCACATGAAGCGCACCTTTGCCCAGATCAACAACACACCAATGGGCCAGTCGCCAGTGCTCAGCGCACCACAGCTCTACATGGCGGGTGCTGCTGCTGGCGTTGCAAACAGTGTTGTTTCAGGGCCGGTTGAGCACATCAGAGTGCGCCTGCAAGTCCAGACGGCAGGTGCGTCTGCGCAGTACAGCGGGCCGCTGGATTGTATCAAGCAGATCTATCGCGGAGCCGGGATCAGCGGGATATACAAGGGACAGATTCCAACCGTCATTCGCGAATTCAACGGATATGGCATGTACTTTTTGGCGTATGAGGCGCTTGTGCAGCGCAAGATGGCAGAGTCGGGCCTGGCTCGCTCTGAGCTCTCTTCTGGGCTGGTATGCCTGTATGGGGCTGCGGCTGGGTTTGCAATGTGGCTCACATCGTATCCGATCGATGTCGTCAAGAGCAAGCTGCAGACCGACGGGTTTTCAGCTGGATCGCGCAAGTACAGCGGCTCAATTGACTGTGTGCGGAAGATTATGAAGCAGGAGGGTGCTGGAGGGTTCTTCCGCGGGATCACTCCATGCATTCTTCGAGCAGCACCGGCTAATGCAGCGACCTTTGTTGGGTTTGAGATGGCCATGCGTGTCCTTGGGTAGGAGTGCGTCTATTTTCTAGTACACAGACAACGGGTTCTACCTTTTTTTATTTTATATTTTATCGTGTCTATTACACTTCCGAGCTATTGTGAAGTAGTCAAAAAGGTGTATTAACCTAGCAAAAATACAGCACAATTATAATGTGTCATTATGCCAAAGCATGTGAGATAAGTCTGCTGGTTTGTTAAAATTGAAAATCAAAGCCGGCGAATGGGCTTAGTACTAACCGCCAGCAAAAAGCACCATGGCGCAGAGGACGCGCGCAGGGCTCATAACCCTGAGGTCCCAGGATCGAAACCTGGTGGTGCTATTTTTGTTGTTTTTCACAGTGAACATTTTATTCGTTCACAAGGCGTCCAGTCAAACAGCAGGAATTGCTTGTCTGATTTTCGGCGGATTCTCGGGATTTGTGGCCAGGGATAAAAGTTTTTTCTTCCATCTTTTTCTCTCTCAATCTCCACCGAATGAACACATTTGTTTTCTCAAGCACTCCGAATCAATTAGTATTTTACAGTTGCAAAGACAATGACGATTGGACGCACGGAATTTCTGCGGCTGTACCGCAGCTCGCTGAGGGCAGCACAGCAATTTGAGACGTACAACTTCCGCAAGTACTTTTACCGACGGACTCGGGACCGGTTCCGCACAGCAAGCACGCTGGGAGACGCACAGATGGTGGAGAAGGCGGTGCTGGAGGCACAAGAGGAGCTCAAGGTGATGCAGCGGCAGGGAGTGGTGAACAGGATGTTCTCGCACAAGCACACAGCACTGGAGGCAGATCCACAGTACGCAGGCAGAGCACGGCGCTTTGGCGCGTAAAGTAGATTTTTCTGATTCTGTTTTTGTACTTTTGAGAGTGGTTTGGGTGCCCCACAGGATTCACCGGTTTTCGGAGAAGCGTGGGCGGAATAAAATAAAGCAATCAAGCAAGCGAGACGCAGCAGCGGGAATTGAGGATTGCGAAGAAGGAGAAGGCGCTGGAGGCGATCGGCGGACAAGGGCCGACAGACAGCACAGTGACAATGGCAATGGCGCAGCGCATGTGACGGGGCGGGGGATCGTCGAGCAGCAGGCGGAAGTAACCACCGCGCGCACAGCGGAGAGCGGATGGATTGGCGCACTCGCCAAGGCCGCTGCAGCAGCGACGGGTAAGCGGCAATCCGCATGGAGGGGCGGGGCGGAGGCAGCGGCAAGCGGCGGTCTGCGTAATATGGTACATACTTTTTATTTTATGAGCTGATAAGAATAGGAAATGTAATGTAGTGTTGTGATGTGTATGTGAGGCAGCCTGTGAGGAGGGCGCTAGGCAGCGTGGGCGGCGGCAGTGCGCTCCTGCGACAAGCGGGAGGAGTGCGGGCGAGTCTGGACGGCGGGGCGGGCGTAGTCGTGCTGGCGCAAGTACAGGGCGCCACCCACAGCGGCGTCGGCAGAAGAAGAAGAAGCAGCGGCAGCTGAATCAGCGCTGTGTCGCAGGTTGTGCGGCGGCGGCAGCAGCGGACTGTGGATGTGCACAGCCGCAGCAAACGGCGTGTAGGCAGGCGCCGGCCTCGCGGCGTCGGTGGCGTGCGTGGGATTATTGGCGCTACTGTCGAAGGTGTCGGCGTCGAGGCGCGAAGCCACCGTGGCCTCGGGCGCATGGGCGCTGGAAGAGGAAGAGGAGGCAGCAGCAGCAGCGGCGCCAGCTCCAGCGCCAGGCGCAGCGTTGGAGCCGGAGCTGGAGCGGCCCCGCTCGGCACGCAGACGCGCGCGGCGGCGGGCGTTGCGCTCTCGCTCCTTCTGCAGATACTCGGCGTAGAGAACGGGGTTCTTCTTGAGCTCAGCGCGCTTCTGGCGCTTCTTCTCGGCGTCGGCAACGCGAGAGGCCGAGCGCTTGGAGTGCGAGTGAGGGAGCTCATGGGCGTGGGCGGGCGAGGCTTCCTTTGAGGATCTGGCATGGTCGGAGTCAGGCGTGTGCGAGCGAGAGCGGGAGCGGCGCGCAAACGGCGACAGCGACAGCGACCCGTCAGCCGGCGGCAGCGTAGGCGGCAGCGTAGGCGGCGACACATAGCGCGCACGCTGGCACATGCCGGCGCTCCACCGCAGCGTCTCGATGGCTTCGAGGATGTGGACCCGGGTGCCAAAGGCAGCGATGCCCAGCTCCTCAGCGAGAACGGTGTTTGTGACATAGTTAAGCAGGACATGGCCATCGACGGCGTGGTCGTGCAGCAGCGCGGCAACCGGCGCAACAGCGCTCTGCCCAAGCGCCCAGCGCTGCACATCGCCAACCGACCACAGCGCCGGATGAGCGGACGGTGCGCCGCCGGACGGCAGCGATGGCGATGGCGATGGCAGCGGCGAAAGCGACGGTGAGGGCGACAGCGAGGGCGAGGGCGAGGAGACCATGGCAAGAGAGGCAAAAAGCGGGCCTTGAAGAAAGGGTGTGGAGCGGAGCAGAGAGAGGTAGCTGGCGCGGCTGGCGGCGAAGAAAAAGACCTGGCAAAGAAAAAGGCCAGGCTTGCTTGCTGGCGCAGGCGGCGCGGCCATGCGTGCGGTATGCGTGCGGCTGCTGGCTGCGTCAGGGCGCTGCTGCGAATAATGCCGCGGACGCGGGCGGATCGCCGGCAAGCGATCGGGTGATTGCTGCCCTGGGCTTCACGTGGCCGCCCCTGCCGGCGCCAGCCAAGCCAGAGCCAAGTTAAGCCATCTCTGACCCCTCGTCCCCTCTCTTCGTCTCGCCTGGTCTCCTTTCGCCTTCCCCCGCCCGGCGGCCGCTTCTTTCTTTCTTTCCCCCTTTCGCTTCCTCTTTGTCTTGCTTCCGTCTCCCGCTTTCTGCCTCCCATGCTGCCTTCTCGAACCCGCCCCCGCCCCCGTCTTGCCGCCGCGCTGCTTGTGCCGCTGCTGGCCGCCGTGCTTCTTGGCATCGCCTCCAGCCCCGCACGCCGCCCGCCGCTCTCCTCCGAAGCCTCCGCCCTCGCTGCTCCGCCGCTTGTCTCTGTGTGGGCCAACCGCCGCAACCCGCTCAACTCCTACTTTGCAAAGTTCGCCTGGGCCTGGACTTCAGCGCTCTTTGCCGCCGCCTTTGCCGCCAGCACTCGCTCACGCCCTGCTGCTGCCTCCGCACTCCACGCTGTGCGCTACGTGTTGGCCACGCTGTACTGGCTTGCTGCTGTGCGCTGGTTCTTTGGGCCGCCGCTGCTCGACCGCCTCTTTGTGGCCACCGGCGGCGAGTGCTCGCTTGCTTCGACGCCGGCGCCGTTTGCTTCGCAGAGCGCCTGTCGTTCCGCTGGCGGTTTGTGGGCGGGCGGCCACGACATCTCGGGCCACTGCTTTCTGCTGCTGCACTCGGCGCTGTTTCTGGCCGAGGAGGTGCTTGTTCCGCTGCGTGCCCCGCCCACCGCTCCGCTGTCGCGCTCAGCCGCCATTGTGCGCTATGCCATTACGGCTGCCGCTGCCGCGCTAGTCTGCGTGTGGGGCTTTCTGCTCTTCTTCACCGCAAAATACTTTCATGGCGCCAGCGAGGTTCTGTCGGGGTCGCTGGCCGGCGTTGCCTTCTGGGCGCCGCTCTACTGTCTGGGCAGCGGCGGAATCCTCGCCTAGCTCCTTTCATTTTCCACGTTGCACTTTACACTTTACCGCTCATGGCTCCGGCGTTGCCTTCAATCGCTGTCTTCAATAAATAGAAACACTCCAAAAAAAAAGTACTAGATGGCGCCTAGTCGTGGCGCAGAACCACTGCGGTGCGCGCCGGCAGGTAGACCTGGATGTAGTTGGGACGTGCGTTCCATTCCATCGGTGTCGAAAAGTGCGCGACATTTCCATCGATGCGACCTTGGCCCAGGAAGCGCGTATCGTCGGTGGCCAGCGCAACAGTGTACTTGCCTGGCCACGCCACGCCCACGCGGTAGTCGGCGTACGACTGCGTCGGGTGGAAGTTGAAGATCCACACAAGGCCGCCGCGCTCGAATGCCAGCACCTTGTCGCCCTCGTGCTTCAGCGTCACCCATTGGTCGTGCGCCGACAGCCACCGGTGCTCGGCCTCCAGCTCCATCATGGCCTTGTCAAAAGCATACAGATACTTGTACCGCAGCATGCCGTCGCGCACCAGGTTGAACTGGCGCCGCGCATAGTGGAAGCTGGATCCGTTGCCTGCGCGCGGAAAGTCCAGCCACTCGGGGTGGCCGAACTCGTTGCCCTCGAACGTCAGGTAGCCCTCGCCGCCCAGCCCGCACGTGACAAGGCGGATCATCTTGTGCAGCGCCATGCCGCGCTCGATGGCCGGCGTCAGCGGCGTCAGGTCGCTCATGTTCGAATACATCTCCTTGTCCATCAGCCAGAATGCCAGCGTCTTGTCGCCAACCAGCGCTTGGTCGTGCGACTCGCTGTACGTGATGGCGCGCTCCTGGTACCGCCTGTTTGTCAGCTGGTGCGCAATGTGGCTCATGTCCCAGTCCTCGTCACGCTTCTCCTTCAGCAGCTTGATCCACATGTCGGGAATCGACATCGTCAGTCGGTAATCAAATCCAACTCCGCCTTCGCTCACTGGCCGGCACAGCGCTGGCATTCCAGACACATCCTCCGCCACCGTCACCAGTCGCCCGTACACCTTGTGGCTCATGTAGTTGGCCAGCATCAGATACACCACCGCATCCTCATCCGTGTTGCCTGTAAAGTACTCGTTGTAGTCGCCGCTGAATCCATACGCGATGCCGTGGTGCTTGTACATCATCGACGTCACGCCATCAAACCGGAATCCGTCGAATCCAAACTCATCCATCCAGTACCGCAGATTCGACAGCAGGAACCGCAGCACCTCGTGCTGTCCGTAGTTGAACAGTCGGCTGTTCCACAGCTCATGCCGTCCCAGTCCGCCCTCGTGGAAGTAGCAATGGTCTGTGCCGTCAAACTGGTTCAGTCCATCCTCCACGTTGTTGCACGCATGCGAGTGCACCACATCCAGAAACACCGACAGTCCCAGCGAGTGTGCCGTGTCTACCAGCTCCCGCAGATCGTCTGGCTCGCCGTATCGCGACGACGGCGCAAAGAACGATGTCACCTGGTATCCGAACGACGCGTAGTACGCATGTTCCATCACCGCCATCAGCTGCACTGCGTTGTAACCCAGATCCTTGATCATCGGCAGCATGTCGCGTGTGAACTCCTTGTACGTTGCCACGCGTGCCTCTGGCGACGATATCCCCACGTGCGCCTCGTAGATGCGGAGATCCGTGTCTGGCTCCTGCTTCTTGTGCTTGAACTGGTACTTGTTTGGCGGGTTGTAGAACACTGCCTCGTAGATCGGGCTCTTTGACAGATCCTGCACCACATAAGTGC